TACACCCGGCTCTATCTGGCACTATCTAACGATCCTGGCTCTATTGGGCACTCTTCTCCTCTCCTTCTCTCTTTCACTTTCACCTCTTCCTCTTACTTTCACCCTGTCCCTCTCCTTTCTCTCCCTAATTCTTCCTTCTTTCCTCCTCCTCTTCCATTCTCTCTCACTTTCTCCTCCTTGCCTCCATTGTCTCTTACTTCCTCAATTTTTTTTATTTTTCTCTCATTCTCTCTCCTTCGTTCTTAGTGGTCAACCCCTCTTTCTCACTCTCCCTCACCCTCCCTCACTCTCTCTCCCTTCACCTCTCCCACTTTCCCCCTCTCCCTTCCTCTCCCCCTCACGTCCTCTCCTCTCCTCCCCCCTCACCTCCTCTCCCTCTCACTCCCTGTGTAATCGGACAACTCTCACTAGACTCTCATCACGAGTAACACCTCTCCCAATCCTCTTACTGGGGGAGAGTGGGGCGCTTCCGTCTTTACTCTCTCTAACTCTCTCTCTCCATACCTCTCCTATCCTACTCTCTCACTCTCTCATCCTTCTCTCTCACTCTCCTATCCTTCTCCCCGTCTCTCCCCCTCTCTCTCCCCCTCTCCCCTTCTCCCCTCCCCCCTGGTGGTGAGTCGTGTAACTGCCTGATGGCTTTACAACAACAACAACAGCGTCGCCTCTCACACTCAGTCTCCCTAATACTGTTCTGGTAACACTTCTAACACTGGGGTCCAATTCCGGTCTGGCAACACAGCTAATATGAGGTTCAGCTCTGGTCTGGTAACACTGGTATCGCCACTCTCACACGCCAGGCGATAAACACGGGCGTTACCCGATCATTGGTGAACCATAAATTGCTTATCTATCCATCAACGTTACTCCCCACCCCCTCCCAGGTTAAATGGAGGGGGTGACAGGGGGTAGGGGGAGGTAGGGGAAGGGGGAGGTAGGAGGAGGAGGGGTGTGGGGGAGGGGGAGGCAGTGGGAGGGCTCACACACACACACACACACACACACACACACACACACACACACACACACACACACACACACATCAAATAGTATAAAACAATTACATAAAAAAATTTCTTCAGTTTAATTAATCTTCACTTTGTTAATTTTTCTCTCTGAATAATTTTAATATAAATTTGTTAAGAAATTTTTTTGTATTTAACATAAAACAACAAAAAACTTTAGTCTGAACTTTCATAAACTTTATCTTTGGATTAAAAATAAATAAACAAATAGATATAATAAACTACATCCCAGTTTTTACACTCATAAAAAATATCGTTATTGACTTAAAAACAATTTTCACTTCTCAGGATTCAGTGTTTTGATATTAATACTGAACAGAGGACATTACCTGGTGTGTCAGAGGTGAGTTGTGTAGCGGTCTGTATACTCTCTCTCTCACCTAAGCCCCTTCTTTCCTCCCTATCTCTCTCTCTCACCTAAGCCCCTTCTTTCCTCCCTATCTCTCTCTCTCACCTAAGCCCCTTCCTTCCTCTCTCTCTCTCTCTCTCTCTCTCTCTCTCTCTCTCTCTCTCACCTAAGCTCCTCCCTCGGGACAAACATTTTCATTGTTTTCTGAATTAAGGCTTTATTATCCTTCTATAAACACTATCTTGTCCCGACGAGGTCTGAAGATTAGTGAGAGAGAGAAGAAGAAAGAAGAGAGAGAGAGAGAGAGGAGTCTGTTAATGGTGTATACAATATTTAAAGATTACAGTGAGTATATCGAGGCTACACACACACATGTATCATCATCATCATCATCATCATCATCATCATCATCATCACTATTATTATTATTATTATTATTATTATTATTATTATTATTATTATTATTATTATTATTATTATTATTATTATTATTATTCCAGTCTTTATGAATCAGTTGTTATGTTTGTTTCTTCTTTTAAACAATAATAAATACTTTCCTCAATAAAATATCTTAACAATTCCCCTCAATTTGTACCTTACCTCTTTCCCTTCCCCCTTTCCACCCCTTCCTCTCACCCTTCCCCCTCCTCCCCTCCCTTCTCCCTTCCTACCCTCTAAACCTTCATCTCCACAACTTCACACTATCAGTAAACCATCAAATTTCTTTTTCTATCAATACTCCAGAAAGTTTTTTTAGTACATCTCTCTCTCTCTCTCTCTCTCTCTCTCTCTCTCTCTCTCTCTCTCTCTCTCTCTCTCTCTCTCTCTCTCTCTCTCTCTCTCTTACACACACACACAAACATAAACACGTCGGTTTCTCTCACTCACTCACTCACTCACTCACTCACTCACTCACTTACTCACTCACTCACTCTTTCTCTCTCTCTCACTGCAGGAGAGAGGCTGAGGTGTCCCTGGATCGACCTGGAAAACGGTCGAGTGAGGATTAGGTCGAGAGGTCGAATTGCCAAGTTCAAGTGTAAGAAAGGCTTTACCAGGTTCGAGGGTGACCGCTTCGCTACTTGTGTCAGGAACAACTGGAACGGCAAGATTCCCAAGTGTATAAGTAAGTCCCTTAACTGTATGAGTGAGTCCATTTATAAGTGTTAAAGAAGTCCATTTATAAGTGTTAAGTATGTTTATATGTAAGTGCTTTAAGTAAATCTATAAGTGCTTAAGTAAGTCTATTTATAAGCGTTTAAGTGAGTTAATTTATAAGTGTCTTAAGTAAGTCCATCTATAAGTGTCAAAGTCTCTCCATTTTTAAATATTAAAGTCATACCATAGATATTTAAGTAAGTTTTTGTAAGTATTTAAGTGCCCATAGTAGTGGTAGTCGATTTCTAAGTGTTAAAGGTGTCTCCCCTACGCCTAAGTTCCGTTTTCTATCATCCTCTTCACCTTTCATTCCTTCCTTGTTTCTCTCTCTCCTTATTCTTCCTTCTTTCCTTCCCCTTTCTTCTCCTCATTCGTCATCCTCTCACTACTGTCACTCTTCTTCTTATTCTTTCTCACTCTTCCCCTCGTTTCCCCTTTCCTTCCTCTTCTTACCAATGCTCTCCTCCTCCTCCCTCCATCCCTTCCCTTCTTTCTTTCCTTTCACTCTCTCGTCCTCCTTCCCCCTCTCTCCTATTCCTCAGTTCCTCCTTTTCCTCAATCCTCTCTCTCCCCCCTTTTCTCTCTCTCTCTCCAACCATTCCTTTCTCTCACTCCTTCCCTCTCCCCCAGTCCCCTCCTTCCTTCCCCCCTCTCTCTCTCTCACCCCCTCAATACCCTTCTTCCCTCCCCCTCTCATCCCCCCCTCTCACTCCCCTCTCACACTCAATGGACCGGAACATCAAGCACACCTTACCTCACTCTGCTCAGATGCTCAGAGTCTCCTAAGGCAAAATTTCCTCTTAAGTTAAAATGTGAAAACCGATCTTATTGGCTGCTGGCTCAAGGTGACGTAAAAATCCAATATGGCGTCAAAACTACACTGTGACTCTACAGGGAAGGGGGTGAGGAGGAAGGAAGAGATGAGGTGAAGTGAGGAGGAGTGAGTGGGTAAGGGGATGTGATGGGGTGGGCAGGGAGATGAAGGGTGACGTGAGGGGAGGGGGGAGGGGAGGAGGTGAGGTGAGGGGAGGAGGGTGAGGTGAGGGAGGATGGAGACCTCCTTGAGAGAATCAAGATAGGATTGGAGAGACGCCAAGAAGATTCGAAATTCCCCTCACAAGGAGAATTAAGTCCTGAGGGTGATCGACGTAGAGAGAGAGAGAGAGAGAGAGAGAGAGAGAGAGTGTTGTTCTTCCTACTCGGCGTCATTTAAGTTAACTGGGTTTGGTCGGACAACATAAGGCCGGAATGGTCTTGCCCACAGTCAGTCTCCCCTTGCACACAGTCCAGAGTCCCCCACCACACAATCAGTCTCCGCCACACAGTCAGAGTCCCCACACCACAGTTAGTCTCCCGCCACACAGTGGAGTCCCCACCACACAGTTAGTCTCCCCGCCACAGTCAAGTCCCCACCACACAATCAGTCTCCCCGCCACAGTCAGTCTCCCCGCCACACAGTCAGAGTCCCCTGCCTGATTAGTCTTCCACAGTCAGAGTCCCACCACCACAGTCAGCCTCCCGCCACACAGTCAAGTCCCCACCACACAATCAGTCTCCCCGCCACACAGTCAGTCTCCCCGCCACACAATCAGTCTCCCCGCCACACAGTCAGAGTCCCCCACCACAGTTAGTCTCCCCCGCCACACACAGTCAGTCTTCCCCCCACACAGTCAGTCTCCCGCCACGGTCAGTCTTCCCCCCACAGTTAGTCTCCCGCAACACAGTCAGTCTCCCCCACAGTCAGTCTCCCCCCACACAGTCCAGTCTCCCCGCCACACAGTCAGTCTTCCCCCACACGGTCAGTCTCCCGCCACACAGTCAGTCTCCCCGCCACACAGTCAGTCTCCCCGCCACACAGTCAGTCTCCCCGCAACACAGTCAGTCTCCCCGCCACACAGTCAGTCTCCACGTCCCGCCCATCAAAACTTACCCCACTCCTTATCATTATTGCCACACACACACACACACACACACACACACACACACACACACACACACACACACACACACACATTTTGTCACAGGGAAGTTGTCGTAAGTACATTATATTCCTCTGTATAAATGGGCCGTAACTTTTGAGGAAGTTTTCTTCACACTTTCAATAAAGATCTGGAGGAGGTGGCTAATACGTCCCCATCGATGATTATTATTGTGATCACTGGTTGGCAAGACTTGTAAACAACATGAGGATGACCGGTGTATGATGACTTATAGAATTTCCCCCTTCGTAAAAATGGTCGTAAATCAGCAGGCCGTTGTCCTTGTTCTTGTAATAAAGTCCCAGAGGCGTGAACGATGCGGGATAATGTTCACTATATCGCGAAATTTAGAGGGTTATTATCATGATCACGTGTGGGCAACAGCTGTAAACAATACCAGGGTTGACCGATGTACGATAACGTGATGGATTTATGAGGGAGACTTATTCACTCTAGTAATAAGGACCATTACTCTTCAGAAACTCATCTCAGTTAATGTAGTGACGTTAGAGGCATCGACTAATACATACTAAACTGAAATTGCGATCATTATTATGGTGATCACGCGTGGGCAACAAGTGGTAAACAAAACCCGGGTTGACCGATGCGCGACGATATAATCCATTAAGGGGGAAGAATCGCCTTACTGTGCACCTATTAACGTAAGCACAACACCGTGGACAGTGGAGGAATATTATTGTTCCCTGGACGACATGTATGTGACAACTTGTATATTAAAAAACTCACTATTTGTAGAAACACCGGGAAATAATACCAGGCTCGAGGAGGGAAAATTGGGAACGATCATGCGTCATATGTGTTATAGACGACCGTAGCAGACTGTGGAAAATGTTGTCTCATTAACTGAAAATGATAACACGTGTGAAAAAAATGTTCTTATTTTAACGTTAAGTAATGATATAGAGGTTAAAATAAATGTTATGGTATTTACCTAAACTGATAATGTCATAGATATCGTGTTTTTTAATATTAACCTTAAATAATAACTTTAATAAACGTTCTTTCCTACCTGAATTTTTTTTATATAATCAGGGGAACACTATAGCTTACCTGATAAACGTTTTGTAATTAACCTGAGAGAGAGAGAATTTCACACACATTTATACCTTCTCTCTCTTCTTCTCCTTCTATTCCTCTATTCCTTATCTCTCCTTCACTGCTCCTTCTCTTCTTTTACTTCTTCCAAACTTCTTTTCTTATCTCTCACTCTCCCTGGTTCTCTCTTTTCCTCCTTATATCCCTCTATTTCTTATCTCTCCCTCCCCCCTCTCACTCTCCACCTCACTATCTCACTTTTATCAGTCGTGGTAGTTACTCTCACCAAGGACTCTCTCCCTCACTCTCCCTACCTCCCACTCCTTCCCCTCCACTCTTCCTCCCAGTTTTATTACCCATTCTTTTTAACCTCTCTTTTTATTCTCTCTTCTAGTCATGATCATCAGATACCATGTCGAGTTCTTCTTCTTCTTCTTCTTCTTCTTCTATTCTTTCTTTGTATATTTCACTACGCAATATCTCTTAATGATTTTACAGTTTTCGTAATTTTTCGTTCGTCAACCAGTACGCCCGTCCGTCCATCCGTCCGCCCGTCAATTCGTTCATCTGTCCGTCCGTCCGTCCGTCCGTCAATTCGTTCATCTGTCCAATCCACCCGTCCGTCCGCCCGTCAATTCGTTCATCTGTCCGTCCACCCGTCGAATTCGTTCATCTGTCCGTCCGCCCATCAATTCGTTCATCTGTCCCGTCCACCCGTCGTCCGCCCGTCAATTCGTTCATCTGTCCGTCCACCCGTCAATTCGTTCATCTGTCCATCAGCTAGTTGGTCAGGTCGCCAACAACATCACAATAACTAGACGCCTCTCCTCTACGTCTCTTAGTGTCTAATTTGCATACGGTCGCAGTCTAAAAGTTTTTTTCGTCAATTTCCTTCCATGTGATTGGTCGAGAGATTCCCGGGCATTATTTTCTGAACTGATGGGCCGATTTTTTTTATATTCCGACTAGTGACTCGCCCTTATGTTTTCTGAGACTCGAATGGGCAGTTAGTTACAGTTCAATGGTTGTTAAGCCTTTCTCAACCAGGCATTTTGGTTACTGGTGTTTTGTGTTTTAATTCAGTGATTTCATTTTATTGTGTTTGATATTTTTTGTTGTTTTTGTTTGTTTGTTTTTTTGTAAATTTTATCCCGATGCTAATTTATCGATCGATAAATAAATAAAAAATCGCCACAAAACAAAAAACGAATCGAACAAAGTATAAACAGTTCCTCAAAACAAAAACGTATCTAACAAAATATAAACAGATCCTCAAGACAAAATCGAATCGACCACTCAACCCCCCTCCACACATCAACCAGAGAAGAGAGCAAGAGAGAAAGAGGATCCAACCCTTCCCTCCCCCACCCGGACCCTTCTAAAACACAGTGTTAGGACTCCGTATGGCCCTGCAGCGCCACTTTAACAACCCTGGACTCACGGACTCTATAATTAGAAGTCGTTCCTTTAAGTTTTGACTCCCAATCTTTTATTAATTTCGTACCCTTGTGGCTTTTAGTATATTTTTTATATTTAATTCTGCGTTGGTATGCCATTGAGGGGAAGGAGGGGGGAGAGGGGGGGTTCTTTGGCCAGTTCGCGTACCTGAGGCTGCAATTACACCTGAAGCTCGCTATCAACGTCTTAATGAGAGGCCGGAGCTGTGTACACATTAGATACGATGATAATTTTAATTAAAAGAGCATCATTTGCATGTGCGTGAGGGACCTCCAGCCAGGGTCCAGGGCGGGTATAGGAAGAGGAAGAGGGAGGAGGAGGAGGAGGAGGAGAGAGAAAAAATGGGTGAGGGATGGAGAAGGGAGAGATGAATGATGAGAAAATGAGGAAAGGGATGAATGGGAAAGAAGAAATAGCAGGAGGAGAAAAGGGGGAGGGGAGGGAGCAGATAGAAGGTCAGAGGTGAGAGAAAAGA